ACATATTATTAATACAAAAATTTATTCGAATATACCAGCTATAACTGAAATGACAACTTTACATAATATATTTCATAGTATATCTCGTTTAAGAACTGATCCTACTAAATATCAACAATTGTATTATATTCTATGTCCTATATCAAATACAAGTTATACTCATGTAGATTCAATAAAAAATATTCATTTTGAACAATATTTATATGAAGTATCGATTTCAATGAAAATTATTGAAAGATGTTTTAAAGAAGATATGCCAAATCTTTTATGTGGACATTTTAAAGAACGTTATTCTAATGCATATAAACAATGGTTAGATATCAAAAATGAATATAGAAATCTAATTGAACAATTAGCTAAATTAATTATTGAAATTCGTTATAGTCAAAATCAAAATATCATATTAGATAAAATTCTTAATAATAAAACACAAATAATTTTAAAAAATAATATTTCTGATTTATTTCAAGATGTTATTGATCTTAATAAAAAAGGACATTTAATTACTGATTTAGCTCGTCAAAATATACAATATTGTAATGTTATTGAACGAAAAGTTGATAAAAATGATAATGAAGATACAATGAAACGTAAATTAATCATTGATGAAAATACTGATCGAATTTTATGTTCTAATGATTTATTAAATAAACAAAATTCAATACAATTTAAAAAATTACATAATGATCTAATTGATGAACTTGATAATAATTCGAAAGCACGTCTTATCTATGCTGATTTTTCTTATTCTACATATGAATTATATGATATAATAATTTTACCAACGATTAAAAATGATAATAAGAAAAATAAATCAAAACATAAAGAAATTTTATCATCTATAGATAATCAAAATATTTCAATATCACCATTGACAAGGACACGTTTACCTGTCACATCATCAAAATTATCGACTATGGAAACAATTAATATTCTTCTTCTTGGTGAAACAGGTGTTGGTAAAACTACTTTTATTAATGCTCTTGTTAATTATCTTACATTTAAAACATTTGAGAAAGCTCAATCTGAGAAACCTATTGTAGCTATACCTGTTTCCTTTCGTATTACTACTGATGATAATGGACAAGAATATGATATTAAACTTGGAAATTTAGATAAATTAAGTAATGAAAATTTTCAATATCCTGGTCAATCAGTTACACAACGTTGTCAATCACATATTTATCGTCTTCATAATAGTGATGAAACAAAATTACGTTTTATTGATACACCTGGTTTTGGTGACACACGAGGTATAGAACAAGATAATCTTAATATGCAACATATTATAGAATATCTAAACAAATTTAAATATTTAAATGCTATATGTATATTTCTTAAATCAAATGAATCAAGATTAAATATATATTTTCGATCATGTCTAACTCAATTATTTCATTTATTAGGTTCAAATTCTCGTCATAATATTATTTTTTGTTTTACTAATTCTCGTTCAACATTTTATACACCAGGAAATACTACTTCATTAATTCAACATATGATTTCATCATTTTCAATTAGTGATATTCCATTTCAAAAAAAGAATACATTCTGTTTTGATAATGAATCATTTCGTTATTTAGTTGCTTTAGAAAATAAAATTCAATTTAATAATGATGAAAAACAAGAATATCAAATAAGTTGGTTAAATTCAACAAATGAAGCATATCGACTTATACGTTATATTCGTAAAAAACTTTCTCCATATCATATTCCAAATAAATTTGAATCTATAAGATCTGCTGAAATTGAAATTGTTCAAATGATACATCCAATATTAGAAACAATAAGAAATATTCTTCGAAAAATTATATGTAGTAATATGAATCAATTAAAAGTATCATTTGAATCAGATTTAAATGATAATTCTTTACATAAAATAGAAAATAATAATTATTATATTAATCAAAATTATCCACATCAACCAAGTCCAATTGAATTTTTACAAGATTATAAAAGTTCAATAATTGAAATTCAAAATAATATGATCGAACAATTAACATTATTATGTCATGTTAATGTTATATTTGCTTATTTTTTATTACATATTGCTCATTATTCTCAAAGTGATCCATTTTTAGATGGTTTTCTACGAATGATTAATGAAGAAAATATTATTTATGAAAATCGAAATCGAAATTATATAAATTTACAAATAGTTGAAGGTTTAAAAAAATTAACAAATAATTATAAACAACGTATAGAAATTCTTAAATTAAAACTAGACGAAAATATTCTTTCAAATATTCATCAATGGATTAAATATATGCATGAATATCCACTTATATCGGAATATATTATTGATATTTCTCAAGAAAATTTAACAAATGATAATAAAATAATATCAATATAAAATATCAAATAATATCTTCTCTTAGAAAAATGAACATTTCAAACTGTGAAACATAGTTCGACTTTATGTAATGACTATGAGTAGGCTTCTATCATTGAGAAAATTGTAGCTCAACAAATTTTTCATCAGCAGGTCATGCGCTCGAATACTTTTTAAGAGTTTTTGGGTCTTACTGGGGCCTACTTGTAGCCATCATATGAAGATGAATGACGTTCGACAGTTGGATGTATTTATTCGTTGAACCCTATACTTAGGACTGACCAAAAGTTCTGATCACGGTTCTTAAAAGCCCTTGTCGGATAAGATAATCGATTCGGAAAGAAATAACCAAAAATACCATATTGTAGAGCTTTTTATGATGCGTCGAATAATATATAGTAAATGCTGTTTTCATAAGGCTTCGAAGAAACTAAAGTCAATTTACTGATAGACGACTACACACCCACACTCGCTCATACCCATAACGACAAAATGACCAGAGATGCTACTTATATGAGATTGTAGCCCGTCAAAACTTTACAAAATCTTATGCGAAAAAAAAAATATTTTACAAATACTTGCGATTTATATCAAGGGTCACAATATTCAGTAATCTATCATGTTTGGGCGTTAGTCTGTAGTCGTCTATCAGTAAATTGACTTTAGTTTCTTTGAAGTCTTTTGAAAACAGGATTTACTATATACCATTCGACGCGCGCTGCAAAAATCTCTACAGCATGGTATATTTGGTTTTTCGTTTCTGAATAGATTACCTTATCTGGCAAGGACTTTTAAGAACCGTGATCAGAACTTTTGGTCAGTTCTAAGTATAATGTTTGTAAAAACTATAGAAATGTCTCGTTATATGATCAATAAGTAGGAAAATGTTGTTAAATAATGAAAGATATTTTTATTGTAAAAAAAAAATCACAAATAAAAATTTTTATTTTGTAATTCGAATATAAAATAAAATTTATCTGTTAAATAATCAAATGTAAATATACTTAATAAAGTTTAATTTAATTATAAACGAATTACCATCATTTTTAATTGATTAGAAGAATTAGCATTGATTGGTACTTTAACAAAATGTTCACGTTTTTCACTTACTACCCATTATTTTGCTTTTAATTCTTCAACTTGTTGTCGAATACTTAAACCATTTATAGGTAATTTATAGAGCTGACTTACTAAACCGAATATATTTTCAACTCCATGTTCATTATGTATAAAGTCTGAAGTCAAAGATGTTGTTTATTGTTGTTTTAGTAAAAGCTTCATCAAATAATTTTTGTTCACGTTCATATTCTTCAATCATATGTTTAAGACCTCGAATCACCTCTACATTATTAGCACCAGCATTTCTTTTCATTTCTTCTTCTCGAACAAAATATCGTATATATCCAAGAATACCATCATTGTAAGGTGTAATTGAATTTTTCTTTAAAAATTGGGAAAGTTTATTGCACACGTCAAGAATTGAATCTTCTTCTTATCTTAAAGCATGAATATGTTTATCAATACTTATTAATACTGATTGGGAATTAGTATTATCTATCGCGATATGGGTTATATATGTTTCATATTCATATGAAATATGCATATGTTTTTTCCAATTACATCCACATACTTTGCATAAACCTAAGAAAAAAAAATTGACAATTCAATATACAAACTAAGAAATGAAGTAATGGTTTTCATACAATGATAGAGGGCCTGTCAAATTCTTTGTTGATAAGGAAACTATTAAATTGTGATCTTATCCACTCTTCAAGTTCGACATGTAAAATATTTAGCGCATATAACATGTTAATTCATCGAAGTATTCAAAAGTTGTGAATATTCTACATAATAGTAGGTTGATTCGATCCTAAGTCTCTTTCTTTTCTCAGTTGTAGAACTCATAGTCAAAAAAATCTTTCATACATTATAACTCTTGCTCAAGTGAAGCCAATCGGCATTGGGCGAGTCTTGTGAATCTACAGTACTAAGATATTACATGTAATAAAAGTTTCAAATGTATAATTTTCAGAACGTCGGAGATTGTAGAGTGTAATACTTTTAAACACAAGCGTATGTCTTTATCAGTTTCAATAATGTTAGTTCTATACAGTATTTAATATATTAGTTTCCTTATGACTAAAAAATTTTAAAGCGTTATCTATCAAAGAGAAAAACATAGTCATGAAAAGATTGAGTATTTTTGTTGTCGAGTTATTTATGGTTCTTCTGTCTATCTATAAACTTGATGAGTATTTTTATACTAGCTATTGTTTTCTTTTATTTTTGATAAGTACTTTTGCATTTAATCATAGACAAAACAATAACCTGTGCGTTTGTTGATTGCATGACAATATTGTAATATTGAATGTCCAATACATTCTTGTTCAACATCACGTAAATAACAACGTGGATGACATTTAGTTACATAATTGATGTTTCATTGATCATCAACAACAATCATTTGAGTACATTGTTCATTTATACATACTGTACGTGGATAATCGAAACGAACTACTGTTTCATTCTTTTGTGATATTTGTTTCGGTAATATCGATAATGGATTGTTTAAAACATTACTTTTATGTTTTTTTAGCTAATTGAATATTTTCTTGTATATGAGTCGAGCTATTTCACCAATTTGTCTTGTTAATTTACGTAGAAGTTGTTAAGCTGCATTTATTGATAAACTATCTCTAATAGCATGTAATTCACATTTAAGAATACGTTCAATAAGTCGAGTAAATTCTTTCACTGATATCTCCAAACTTTTACTAAAATTTGTAATTTCTTCTGTTGAAAATTTTATTCCATTTTTATATGTAGCTAAATAACGAAATGCTTCATTGTCAAATATAAATGTATGATCTTTATTAAATGAAATTTCAATTCTTCATGTATCATTTAATTCTTTAATAAGAGTTCGAATTAATGGAGTTGTAAAACCTGGTCGATAAAATGTTCCTCGTCCATTAGTAAATATAAACATAAGATTATCTTTAGCATTAATATGTAAATGTGTTAAGATTTCTTTAAAACAAAAACGAAAATTAATTGTTAATCGTTCATGATTTGGTTTAAGTAATATACAAATACTATTTAAATGTTCATATTGATTTACATAAGCAAGAATATGATCACAATCTTTTACATCTTGTGTTAGACCCTCTTACATCACCAATACCTGGTGCATCAATTAAACGTAATAAACGATTTCCAATTGGAAAGAGATAACTTTAATAAATTTGTATACTTAATTGACCAATTTCTTCACATCTTTCATCATCACTTGGTGTCCCAATCAAAATTTTTTTTATTTCTTCGGTATGTGAATCAGTTATATGAAATGTAGAAGGTATAAAGGATCGTTCATAAAAAACGTTTACATCAAAATTGCATTGTTTGAGTTTCTCTCTCTGAACGTCATGTAGAACTTATCAGGACTAAAATTGTTTGACCAAGAGCTACCCAATGTGTTTTAACATTTTGTATAAAAAAAAAGAAAGAAACTTTGAGAAAAGTCTACTTGTTCGAATATACTGCTTCGTTTTTTTATGATACAAAAGTTTATTAAATAAATTTATCACAAATAGAAATGTAATACAATAAATGAATTTCACTATCAATAGCACTCGAAAATATTATACAACTGGTCTACAAAATAACAATCTTCTCCTCATTTAGTATGATCTGAAATTCTTTCAACATCAATAATAAAATAAACTAACCTTGAAAATTTTGTCGAAACTCAGGTAAAAACAAAGGAAAGTATTCATATTAATGAGTTCCTGGTGGTTTAGAAGCTTTTGACCATCCGTTTCTCATGGATTTCTTTTATGAATGATCCTTAAGTACTTGCATTTCACTTTTAATTGCCTCATTAAGTGTATTATAAATAATATAATTAGCAAAGGCATTAATGAATGTTGATTTGCCAACACCTGTTTCACCGAGCATTAAAATATTTATATCGGATTGAGATGATGCATAAGAACTTGGTCTTGGAATATATTGCTTTGCAGAACTCATCTTTGGATCTATCAACAAATAATTTAAAAAATTGTTTTATGCTTTTATTTAAAAAATATATCGAAAAGCCTGCGAATTTTTCATATTGTTTATTGTGAAAAGTATGAAACATTAAGAACTTTTTTTTTATCATTTATAAACATATTTTTGTTGATCTTTTGGCCTAAAATGAAGAATTTTTGTCAACATGAGCATTTTTTTTTCCGTTCTATTTGTTAACTACGAGAAAAAAGTCTTCTACACGTGGTTGTATAAAAACAAGAGTGTTGATTTATTTTTTAAATTTACCAAAAGACAGAAGTAGAAAAAAAAAATATTGTTGCTGTCAAGGTAAGAGACAAAAAACAAACGTTAAAATTTTAAATTTACTGAATCAATTCGTTCGAACATTTCGTTAAATATTCTTTTTTTAAAAATTATAGGACTTTTATAATTAGTTAATATTTTTTCTTTTTTTTTTGAAATAAGATCTTTCTCTCGTGTAGATATAGATATACATTATTTTTTAATAAAACATAATGTAAAAAATAGTTTGTTATAAATTCAAGTAATTATTAAGTTTAAAGAAAAGATTTCAATTGTATATATTGATTATTTTCTCATAGTTTTTTAAAATAATTTTTAAATTGAAATTACTCGTTATGAAAGAAGTTTCTCTTGATTCTTTGATTGGATGCGATTCTCACGAATAGAAACAAAATTAAAAAAGAAGTATTAAATAAAATTAAGGCTATGAACACACTAGACGAAGTGATTTAACTTAAATCAGAATTGCGTAAGTTGATTGGTTAATTCATATTTAAATCATCTTTTCGAGACGATTTAAATATGAATTAACCAATCAACTTACGCAATTCTGATTTAAGTTAAATCACTTCGTCTAGTGTGAACATAGCCTAAGTCAACTTTTCAAAAATATCAGTATGTTGTGTATCGATATAATTAGGTACTATATCGTTAAGAATAAATCGTATTGATTCTGATTGACTCTTATGCATATTGCTAACAGGAAAATGTACGATTAAGTGTGCACTAAATATTTCTTGCTTTTGCTTTCAATTTGTTTCCTGAGAATACTCACATTATGATTCATTGAGAACAGTTAGGTTCTATATACACATTTTTCTTACAAAATGGTATGCCTTCGAAGTTCGCGCAACGCATGTTTCAATTTTTACTGAAATTTTAGAAAATGCCCTGAAATGAAGGTCTCGTTCCCTTTAGAGTTTTTCGTAAGGCTAAAATAAAAATTCGAACATCTATCGTACATATCTTGCTGATGTCTCATTTTATAGAAAAACCCTTCCTTTACAATGAAAAATATTCGAAACAATGATTAGGGGTGTTTGTAATTTTTGCCGTTTGATAGACCCAGTATTACGATCATGTTTCATTGTATCGTAAATGGTCAATTACTCGATTTTTAGACCATTTGATAATTTTTATCAATTGTGCACAGCACAATAAAATGTGGCCATTAATACTGGACATACAAAGCATGAGCCTACAGCTGTTTCCGACCGCAAATCGCATGAAACGACAGTACACAGTACCGGTTTTGGTCGTCTCAGTGACCGTAATAATCATGGCCTCATTAAACACATTCCTACAACACCAGAGAACACGACCTAATTAAAGTTTTCAATAATTATTATGAACCTGTTCTAATTTGAAATTAAAATCCGATAAAAAATAGACTTCGTACATTGAAGATAGAGGGTTGTGTTCTAGAAATAAATTGCATCGGTTTTCGATAAGATCAAACATTAGAGATCGTAATTAACTCTTTTCATGCTTAATTAATTGACTCTGTTTTACTTATATAATTCTGAACTGTTAACATATTTATTGTTTTAAGTTTAGCATACAGATTGTTATACCAAGATATTAATAAATATTTCTTTCTATAATAACAAGCTCTTTGTGTTCCTTAAAACCTTATCAAACCATCTTATTCTACGAAAGCATTACATCTCGTGTAATCGAAATATGCAGTATCAAATCATAGATTTCTACATTACTCTGGAAACCACTAAACGTTTCAATTCAATCAGTTTTGTCCCAAATATAATCGATTTAGACTTTTTTTTATAATTTTAGCTTGAAACGTTCATTCACAACTTGTATGACACTACGATCAACCACTGCCAGCTCAAACGAACAAACATTATATGTTACAAATCGCAAGGCTGTTGACTCCTCAGGAAGTCTTGGTTCGCTCTATGATGGATGTAACGATCAAATACTCTTAAAAGTAAATGTGAACAGTAAACGAAAACGATGTCAAGAGCATAAGTCAAAACATTGCATGATCACAAATGGTAGTAAAGATCAACAACAAAGTATTCTGAAAATAATTGGTCTTGGAGATGAATTACGATTGAGTCTATTATTG